CTAGAAACAGAAATACCATTTGACCCAGCAATCTATTACTGGGTATATACCCAAAGAAATATAAATCATTCTATTTTAAAGATACATGCACATGTATGTTCATTGCAGCACTATTCACAATAGCAAAGACATGGAATCAACCCAAATGCCCATCATAGACTGAATAAAGAAAATGTGGTACAAATACACCATGGAATACTATGCAGTCAGAAAAAGGAGTCAGATCATGTCCTTTGCAGAGACGCGGAAGGAGCTGGATGCCATTATCCTTAGCAAACTACTGCAGAAACAAAACCAAACAACACATGTTCTTACTTATAATTGGAAGCTGAACAATGGTAATATATGAACACATCGGGGTAACACCACACTGGAGCCTGACAAAGGGGCACGGTGAGGGAGAGTGTCAGGAAGAACAGCTAATGGATGCGGGACCTAATACCTCGGTGATAGGTTAATCTGTGCAGCAAAAACCACTATGGCACAAGTTTACCTAGGTAACAAACCTACGCATCCTGCACATGTACCTGGAAACTTAGTAAAAGTTGGGGAAACAATAAAATAAAATACAAATTACAAAAACACTACTCTCTGCTACAAAGGAACAGGATGCTATAAGTAAGGAGGAATTAGAGAAAAGAAAAACCAAGGAGGTTTAAAATCTAATTAATGAAAACATGTTTGACAAAGAAAAATTTAAAAAAAATTAAAAATTTCATTGAATTGTTTTAGTTGAGAGTTTTCAGATTGAGATTGCTTATCACTTATATAGGGAGGAAGATAAAAGAGTGTCAAACTAAGGTAATGTATTGAACCATTTCAGAACACTGGGGTAAAGAGAGTACCAAACATTTGGAAAGAAAAAAAAAAAAAAGAAAGAAAACTGATCACATACAAAGATACAGGAATCAGAATCACAGATTTCTCAAGAGCATCATGAGAAGCTAAATGATGTTAGAGTCACAACTTTAATATTCTAAGCAAAAATATTATTTAAGTTAAATTCCCTAACTAAAGTATAATTCTAAACTAGAACTCTAAAGTTTGGATAGAGTAAAGGAGTTTTGGTTGGAATGTGCTCCAAGCTTCAGCCAAGCAGAAAGAAGTTGAGAACCCCCCTTCTGAAAAGAGCGGTTCACCAAGAAACAAACACAGCATGCAGAAAACAGAAGATCCAACATTACAGATGAGGAAGACAGAATCAGAATCAGGTTTATGGGGTAGACCTAAGGAATAGCTAACCAAGTCAGATCAGGCAGCCTCAGGGAAGGCTGTAGTGAAGGGGACTTAATAGCTAAAGTCTAAAAAAATAGATTATAGAAGATTTTATAGTTCCTGTTAGAGATTTCAAGAATTCATGACAGGTATAGACAAGCATAAGTAAATGGGAAAAGGGGTTTATTATTAATTCAAAGAAGAACCAAAAGAGTACCAGAAAAGAAATTGGTCATAATACTATAACATTCAACTCACAGTCAATAATATTTACATGACTATAGTAACTCAAATTCTGAATATTAATATAACCAATGTTTCTGAAGTTCATATACTAAAAAGAGAAAAAGAAGGAAAAGTGGAGGTGAGAAGGTGGGGAAGGAGATATAAGTGGGCCAAATCGTCATCTTCCATAATAGGAAGTCAAACAATATATGACATTGATACAATGATAAATAGCAGGTTAAGCACATATTCAGAAATACAGAAACAAATCCCAGAAGAACTAGATAAAACAGAATGTAAAATGATGAGAAATGTGTGTGTGTGGGCGAGACAGTGTGTGTGTGTGTGTGTGTGTGTGTGTGTGTTGGGGCAAGAGATTCCTGTATTTCATTCTAAGTTTTGTAATATTTATTATGTTTTACAAATGTTACACATAAAATAAGTTTTCATGTATTGCATTGATAAACACCTAAAAATCATTTTAAAATCCACATGTCATTTTTAAAAACCAGTTGAATTTTGGATAGCAGTTCTCTGATATCTACTCATAATTAGAAACTGAATTATTTACTTCAACTCTACTTCCTTTGCCATCCGGGATCTTTAGAGCTTAACATATGTAAACTTCCGGGGCTATTCTTCAGGAAGGTGTACAGATTAGCCATAGATGTGAGTGCTATTGTAGACTATGATACCTACTTCTAATTTTTAGATTTGATAATGCCCAGTTAATTAGGATGTTATTTCATGGCCAAAAAATATTAGAAGATCAACCACAATACGTGATTTGTGGAGAATGGCACAGTAACTTTTTAAAATTAGGTCACACTGATCATATCTTTGATATGACCAAATGGCACATTTAAAATATATACTGTTGAAATACTAAACTATAAAACTTCAAAGTCCAAGCCCACTAGAATCAAAATACTTGAAGAATTGAGAAATTCCTTTTCCTAGCAATATGTCTCGGAAAGTAGATAGCTATTATATTGAAAAAAAAAACTTTAATCCTTTCACTGTTTTTCTTGGCATTTACAAGTGAATTACATTTCTTGAACAATTAAATGTTATTTTACTTATACATATACTTATTTTTTTGAACAACAAAATGTTACTTGTTCTGTATAACATATCGTAAGGTAAAGATTGAATTGCAAAGGACATTTAAAAACCTTCTGTAGCTACAGAATGGTTATAGTAGCCAGACCTTTAAAAGTGAAATTGCTGCTCCATGAAAATAAAATTGTATGAAGTATAATCAATTTTACTTATGTAAACATTAGGTCAAAACTGATAATATGTAACAATGCTAAAATGTAAAGAGTTTTATTGGAAAATGTGTATTAGATGTAGGAGTACCAGCGTAAAATAAAGAAGATCTCTCTATTAATAGTACACTGTTTCTTTTACATTCTCTAAGAATAAGGAGCCAAGATACAGAAGGGGTTTCTCGGGCAATACTTGTCACATCCTTGATTTGGACCATCACTTTCTTTGTTGTTGTTTTTCTTTTGGATTTGGATGTTGTTTTCTTACCAATAATGGAAAGTTAGTTTTTCCCTCAACTTAATCTTGTACTTATCACCCCTCAGGTCAGTTCTGACTAGCTTACACCATCTAATAAACATTTCTCAGTTTCCTAAATCAATTCTGCCAGGGGAGCTGCCTCTAGACAAATTCAGTCTCTTTGGATGATAGCTATTTTCGAAATAATTTAGAAGTTCTCACATAACTCTTGACATGTTTAGGAATCCCCAGTAGTTCTCATCATTTCTTTAGGGAAGGTACAGTAAATATTTCATGAGGATGTCTCATTAGTGGTAAGTCTAATTGCTTCAGTAATGACATTAAACTCTTTCAATTTCCTTCTGAAGGCAGTCTATGCTGTAGTAATACAGCTTTTTTTTTTTTTTTTTTTCTATTCCAGAGTTTGTGGTAGTTACAGAAAAACAGCAACGAGTGTTTCTTTAAATAGAAGAGCTGTACTTGTGGGCTTTCAATGCTAACGTTCAGTGACCACTAATATCATATCTTCCCAGGCAAAACTGTATTTTATTCATTACAGAGTGAAGCACATCTTGAGACTCTTACAGAGGACTGCATGAAAGGTAGGGGCAAACTGACACTTGTCTGAGCTCTGCAGGATAGAAATCTACATGCACACTTTGAACAATTTTAGTTTTTCTATTCAATTCCTTTAACGAATTATGGGATTTCTCCTAGTTTTGTCATTTGGGACTTCAAGCTGCTCAGTAGCCGCAGGGAGTGTTACCAGAGATTACCCGGTGCTCAGAATGATTGAAAGGAGAGGTCTGCATTCTGGTACACATGCATAAAGCACAATCTTAACACTTGAAAAATCGCAGACATCTTGATACAGTTCTTTCTGTAGTGGCACTCCCATTACACCATGGGATGGCATCTCCCAAACTAGCAAAATAAGTTTCTTTAGGGACCTATGCAGGGCTTTGGTGCCACACTTGGGTGTGTCCTGAGTAATGACCACAAATAGGGATTTTATATCATGCACAGAAGTAGAGGATTATTTTACTGGTACTGAAAAATAATTTACACATCACAATGATATTTTTGCTCTTAAAATATCACCTAATATCTGCAATAGTAAAATGTGTAATGAAGATTGTATATATACACATGTACATATACATACATACATATATGTACACGTATGTGTGTGCATGTGTGTGTCTATAAATGTGTGTCTATACAGAGGTTTGAACAGAACTTCCGTGTATTCTAAAAGAGTGTTTAATTTTTTAGTATATTTAGCATATCTGTTTTCTCCATTTTTTTTTTGTCATTTTATCTCTCTTTCAATCTTCCACAGTTGCCTTGTAGTATTTTCCTTACATTTGTTTCCTTGACCATCTTTGTCCCCAGTTTTCTCCTTTCTGATACTTTATCCACCATTTATGTGATATGGTTCTAATCAGTTTTTAACCTATTAATTGCATTTATCCAGCTAAGGAGAGCCTTGGTTCTTAAAGTTGAAGGAACAGGAATATCATAACAAAATATCTCATTTTAGGGGTCCTTTTTGTAATTTTGAATTTATATGTGTGCATACATAGTATTTTTATCAATAGTTGAAATTATAAATACTTCAGTTGGAATTTCTAAAAACTGGGAAAACAAGTTTTTTTGTACTATACTCTCTAATTTTTAAAAATCCTTACCCTGTGTCTTGCACATAATAGCTACCTGATAAATGCATGAGAGTGGAATGAATGATAAACTTTAGATAGATGTAGTATCTCAAATAGGCTTTGAGAAAGAACATATTTTTACCTTTTGATGAACTCCAAAATCTAACAAATATATGAACAATGTAAGTTAACTGAAGCTTCAAATAATTTTTTCTTTACATCAAAGCTTTTATTGGAAAGCCAGAAAACAAGATAATTCTAATTTGTCACTGCTTACCAAAAGTCATGAGTAACTGTCCTTATATGGCCCAGGTTTTAATGTTAGTAATACTTAAAAGCAAAGAAAAATTGATAAAAATGAAAAAATTATAATTTAGAAGAAAGTTTTACCAAAGACAGTCAGCTCTGCTGGGTCACTGTCCCTTTCTCCCACCATGTTGGTACCAACACAAGTATACATCCCTGCGTCACTTTTCCTGGTATTGGAGATCATCAGTTTTCCACCACGGATCTGTTACAATCAAAAAGAAAAGAGAAGGGAAAGAAAAAGGAACAGAACAGAAAATAAAAGGTCATTAATAAATAGCTTTGAGCATTTAAGCATATTTGTTTCCCAAAGGAAAGATCTCTCCCATTATTTTGGCATTTGTAGGTATGCTTTCTTTTCTTAAATTCACCCTCAATATAAGTTTCCATACTTTCTTCATAAAAATACTTTTTAAGGCAGCTGTCCTCTCTTTCCTGATCCTATTTTGAGTCTTGTGACTGACCCCACTAAATCCCAGTAGTTAGTCCTCACACTGAAATTCGTCTGAATAAACTGCTATTGTCATTTGTCATCAGAAACACTGATATGCACTTTAAATAATCTAATAAAACCCATCTGAATCAGAGGGATTCAGAAAGTATATATATGTGTGTGTGTATATATATACTTTCTGAATATATATATATATAGAGAGAGAGGCAGTATTCTGGACACTTAAGAGACAGTAGTAAATCAAATGGTAAAAATCTTTGTCTCCCTAAAATTCACATTTCAACTGTTAGTATTAATCATCTTTGTCTCATATTACTTGTATTGAAGAGATAATTCTTGATGAAAATGGCAGGTTGGATAAAAACAAACACAATTTATAAAATGGTAATATGTATTGGTATAAATCATTAGCATCTAATAGGTTCCCCTTCAAGATTTCTTAAATGAGAAGCATTTACTGGCTGATAAAAACAAATGCAATAATATTAAAATATGTGTTTGCTAAAGAGAACATTAAAGCAGAGTTAGGCTTTCAGTAAATGTATAACTCAGTTTCTTTTCCAGTTTTTTTTTTTTTTGGTATTCATTTAATTCAATATTAGCTTTACAAGGATTGAGTGTTCTTGAAGAAATACAAGAGAAGAACATGTTGGTTTTCTCCATTATTTTTTAATTTCACAGGCAAACACAACTCATGTAGGTTGGCTCTTATCAGAGATGTTTCAAGATTTACAACTTGTCATTGCTATAGAAAGGAATTTTCAACTTTTTTTTTTACATAGGCGGAAAAGACCATTAACCTGCTCTCAAATCTGTCTGAGAATTGAGAATAGAATAGAATAAAATGAGAGCTTATAAAAATGGCTACGAAGGTCATTTCTCCTCCCCCTTGAAGCTGAGAGCTAGGTAATACGACTTGATTTGACCAATGGAACTAAAGCACATATTTCCCTGGAAGAAAGGTTCTTGTTCATTGTGTCTTGCCTTCTCTTGCTGAGTTGGAACCCTGAGACCAACATGGGAACCTACTGAACTAGCCTGCTGGAAAATTAGAGATCATAAGGAGGGGAACCAAGATATCCAGCTGAGAGTCAACCAATTGCCCGACTTGTGAGGAAGGTCATCCTGGATTATTCAGCTGCCAGCACCCCTTTAAATAGGCAAGAGCTAAATGCTATAAATATAAACTACCAATCCTTAAACATTGGCTGATTTTACTCCATCATCGGGAGTACATTTTCATAAACTTGGTACCCAAGCAAGCCCACTGAGAACAAAACTCTCTTTGGTAATGTCAATCTCACAGTGTTAACAGTCAGACTAGTGTTGGGTCTCAGAAAATGATACCCCAAAATGTGGTGCTTTGGCTTTCTGAGCACTTTGAATTAAAGGAAATCGTAAGTCCTCAGAAACTTCCTTAACATCAATGTCTCTCTGACATTCCTTTGTTTCTGTCCCCTCCTTTGCCCCAAGAACAGAGAGGGGAGCTTGCTAAAGTTCCCTTATCTGACTGCGAAAAGGTCTTCCAAAAGAAACACAATTGCCCTAAATCCCCTGTCTGAAATCTCATTAACCTGTAAAGATTAATTACCAAAGAAGAAACTAAAGATCATTACCATGCCTACTGGACAGACTGTTCAACTATTCTTCTTGGGGTTGTCATCTGAGAGACTTTATCTACGTAATAAGAAAACCTTTGTTTGCAGTGCAGTTCTGCCCCTCACCTTCCCAGAACTCGTTACCACCTCTCCCAGAGGTCAGAGGAACTTTGTCTCAGGCTATTGTCTATTTGTTGGGCCCATTCATCTTCTATGAAGATCATTTAATCTTCCTCTGAAATTGCCTACTATCCCCACTTCCCTCATCCTATGAAGAGGGTAATTAAGCTTCAACCATCTATCCCTTCTTTGAGTTTTATACTTTGTATGATTCCCCTGCACTTACATATAAATATTTTTCTATGCTTCTCCTTCCATTAAACTGTCTATTGCCAGTTTATTTCAGTGGACTAAAAGACTTAAATCTTTGAAGGGTGAAGGGAAAAATTCTCCTTTCCTCTATACCAGAAACACATGAATATACATTGTTATCTCTTCCACAGCCTATCTGGTTCTGTTTTATGTTGTAATCACACTGTGCACATTGGCCGGGTGCGGTGGCTCACGCCTGTAATCCCAGCACTCTGGGAGGCCAAGGTGGGCAGATCATGAGGTCAGGAGATTGAGACCATCCTCGTTAATATGGTGAAACCCCATCTCTACTAAAAAATACAAAAAATTAGCCGGGCGTGGTGGCGGCACCTGTAGTCCCAGCTACTCGGGAGGCTGAGGCAGGAGAATGGCATGAACCCGGGAGGCAGAGCTTGCAGTGAGCTGGGATCGCACCACTGCACTCCAGCCTGGGCAACAGAGTGAGACTCCATCTCACACACACACAAAAATTATATATATATATATATATATATAAAGACTATATATAAATATAATATCAATACTTTACAGATTTTTTATTAAAATGGCACATTTATTCAGCCAAATGAGAAATTATCTTAAATTAAATATATTCACTCTCAGTTGTACTGAATATAAAAATTTTACTACTGAATAATATCAGAAAGTTAAGCAATTATATACTATTTCTGTGGGTTGGTTCTCACTTAAAAACTTCACATATGAATATTGCATGGATCCTCTGAAGAAATAAAATGATGACATGCCATTCCCCTGTTTCTGTGTGTTTCATTTTGAATATTAATCAACTGATGAATCTGATTATAAATTTCCTTTGAAAACAGTTATTTTTCTGCATGAGCTAACATGCAGAATCAGTCAGCTATTTTGATTTCAATTTTATTTCATATCTATTCAATCTGCTTTTAAATCAATTCATGTATAAAATTTTACTGTTATAAATATTATTTAATTGGAAAAACTGGAAATAGCATCTGAGATATTCATCACCTTAAATTATTTTCACTTATAATTTTTGAAAATGGTGCAAAATTAGATGTAGTTAATGTGGCTTATGGCTATCATTTATAGTTTAACACTCATGTACTGCATGGCTAACAGAAGCTTCTGGAGTTTTTATAAAAGAGCTATAACATCCGCCAGGCACGGTGGCTCACACCTGTAATCCCTGCACGTTGGGAGGCTGAGGTGGGTGGATCATGAGGTCATGAGATGGAGACCATCCAGGCCAACATGGTGAAACCCCGTCTATACGAAAATCACAAAAATTAGCTGGGCGTGGAGGTGCCCGCCTGTAGTCCCAGCTACTTGGGAAGCTGAGGCAAGAGAATCAGTTGAAACCAGGAGGCGGAGGTTGGGGTGAGGGAGATCGCACCACTGCACTCTGGCCTGGGCGACAGAGCAAGACTCCGTTTCAAAAAAAAAAAAAAAAAAAAAAGCCAAATATTGCAGGGTAAAGATACAATTCAGATTGGTGCAATTAATATTTCATGTACTCTGGATTTACATAATTTTTGTCTGTTATAGTCTCATCCAAATGTTTTTAAATCTTTTCAAGGCAGTATAAATTGTAATTAACATTCAAAAACAATTATATTAATAATAAGTTAAAGGATAAAATACATCTATTTTGTATTTTGAGACTGAAAATTCAATCTCTCTGGGCCACGATTTTAATTTAACTCACGCTTATTCTTTCTTCCTTGTCATCAATTCGAACTTTGTCTTTTTTCCAGTAGATGGTGGGTTCTGGGTGTCCCCGGGGAGGCTGGCACTCCAGGATTGCAGGTTCTCCAGCTGCCACTACAACATCTGTGGGGTTTTGTCGGAAGTCATCTCGTAACACTGAGGAAAAATAATTACAGGAAAAGAAAACTCAGCGACGGTAACTAAAGCTTTCTGTTGTACGAGGTCACTTCAAGTCTTGTTTACCTTGTTCTAGTAAAAATTGCCTGGATTTTTACTGAGAACATAGCTACATCCACCTTAAAATATTCTAGAGCCAACATAAATGATCATCAACAGGAGAATGGCTGACTAAATGATCGTGCACCTTTGGTCAAAAATTCAATTTTAAAAATGAAATAAGTCAAAAAAATGAGAAATATTCATGTACAGTTGTGTGATTGATTAAAAAAGCAAGGTGCAGAACGCTTCATTAGTATGATTCTATTTTCTACACAGAAACTCATGTGTGTGTGTGTGTGTGTGTGTGTGTGTGTGTGTATACGCATGTGGTTTGTGAGCCTGCAAGCCTAATGGTCTGTGAGGGAAAGTGGAGTGAGAATTCTTTGAGGAAGTCCTTTCTCATGACATGAACATAGACAAGATCCACACTGTTTTCATTACACTTCAGAAGACAGACTCATAGTTCACCCTTGCAGCGCACTAGCACCCACGTACGCAGGGCTACATTTTCATTCTCTCTGCAACTCCACCTGCCGAGTGACATCTGGGCAGCGTGACATTCAGGGCAGAGATATCCCTTATAGCAGTTTTGCCTGTCTGAAATTTCCTTCCTTTCATTAAGGAGAACAGCAGGTTGGGCCTCCGCTGTAACCACCGAAAATCTGGCATGCCTGCCTCTCCAAATGTCACCTATCTATCTACTTGCGCTTCTCTGCTCCTGACAAGATGAAAAGCCTGGAGAGATGGCTCAGCCCTAGAGGACTGCGTTTATGTGGTAAATCAGAGCTACGTCAATTTTAGGGTAAACATTCAAAAAAGTAGTTGAGATCAGCAAATGTACCACATACTACAACTGCCTCTGCTTTTCCTGACCGGCTTCACTGTTTCTGTGCTTGGACATCCAACACTGACAAGTTTGGTTCCAAAGTACCTCGAGGTAAAATGAACCTACACACACACGCATGCACACACACACACACAGACACACGCACACATCGAGCTGTTTGAAATCAACATTAGGCAGCTTGTGGTAGCCTGGTATGTAAATCACGTGCTGCGAGTGGGGATGAGGTCAAACCCACTGCCCTCCGTGTCCTATAATGAGACCCACTTCAGCACTCTGCTTCTTTGTTGTGCCAAGTCTGCAGGTTAATTGTCATTCTCCAAATAAATAAAACTCCCTGTCCTTAAAAGAGCTCCAGAGAGACAACTCAGTGACTTCCAGGGTTTTTCTTTTCCCGTCTCTTGCAACACATCCTTTAACACGGTTTTCCATCTTAATGAAGTCATGGCCCTTTATGAGATTAGAGAACCTGTGTCTTATTGAAGGAGCAGTAAGAAATAATTCAGCACAAATTGTTCACTCTCAGTTTATAAGCTGATTAATTTACTGCTTTCACTGCTAAAGAAATGTGTTCCTTTTTAGCACTGTGAACTGCATATTTTTGGCCCCCTTGTCTAACTGGCAAGAAAGGTGTGATTTGTATGCATAAGGATTTGCTTCTGAATGGGCTGAGGAAAGCGTGCATTTAAATGTGACATTCATGCAACTGATGAGAAGGGGTTAACACTGTGGTTCCCTCTTGCAGGTAAATCCTCCAGGGAGAGCAAGCTGGTGACTCATTTATATTCTAAATACGGAACACACCTGCCTATTTATGCAACGTTAAGAAGTGCAAAAATATGGTAACAGGGTGATGAGCACCACTACAATATCCGGTACTGGCAACAAATGGTGTTTTGGCAGGCCCTCGATCTGTTCCAAAATGGCACATCTGGCCAGTTGAAGGGCCTTCTCCAGATCTGGTCTCCTAAAAAATGGTATGTCAAAAAGCCTAAGCACAAATGGTACTTAAGACCATTGCAAATCATTCAGAAATACAATGTTACACCAATTTGCTACAATCCATTTTTTTTTAAAGGCCCTTTGACATGAGGGACAAAAAGAAGAAAAACATCATAACAAACTAAAAGGACTGCTACTCTTTAACAATAAAACATGTGTTTATGGCATTCAACAAAAAGGGGGAAAATGACTCCAATTTGCAAATGAAGCCAAGAAATCTAACATCAACTGTAATTTTAGGCTTTCAGACTATTCAGCCAGAGAGTAGGGTGAGATAATGATATAATTGATACCGTACCCTCTTCAACTTGTAATATGCTCTTTGGGGTTTGTATAGCACTCAGTATATCCGTTTGTGTTTGGTGATATCATTTATTTTACCCTAAGTCTTCAGGATATCGTTTCTTCTCTCTCTTTCAGGTGAACAACATGCTTTTCAGCAGGTTCCAGCACAGCAAGCCTAGAACTTATTTTTAGAAAAAGGAGTAAAATCATTTTTACTCTTCTCAAATTTTGAAGGAAGATATGTATATTCTGATATTTGTTTATATGTTTCTGGGGTCTGTATGTACATTCATAAATGTAACAAAAGTAAAATAACATCTCTCGCTTCCCATTTTTGTGCTAATTATTAATTTCTGCCTTGGGTTTTGCCCTGTGCTCTTTATCTGAGCCGATAAAGACAAGAAAGTGTTAGCCACGGTGAAGTATTCCCATGTGTTGGATGAAGAGAACTGAAATGGTCTTGTAAATGTAGAAAATAGCAAAGCAATTTCAAATTGTAAATGTGTGTGTGTGTGTGTGTGTGTGTGTGTGTGTGTATTCCCCCTAAATCCTCTACCCTAGAAAGAACTGAAAACTATATTGTCAAGTGTGGCTTGACAAGTATGTCAAAAGAAGAGCACATACCACTGTGTGTGTTACCCCAATTCTCCATAAAGTCTTTACATATGATGAAGAGAAAGAAATCCGATGAGAGGGTAGCAGTACGTTACGTTTCAAAGAAAAACGATATACTGCTTCCATAATGGCTGCGTTAATTTACATTTATAGCAAGTCGTAGGGGCCAAGGAAAAGCCTCCCCTTTGCCCTCTGATGCTTCACTGAAAAATCAACTCACAAAAAGCAGATTACTTGGAGAAAAGGTATATAATGTATTAGCGTGCCCTGAGGAGAATCACAGAGTAATTGTCTAGTATCGCTACGGTACACCAATGTTATATACTCTGTTTCTTAGGGGAAAGAGAGATGAGGAAGTATAGATACTTTTTAGGCGGATTCAATAAGCTTAAAGAATATACAACAGCCTGGGACAAAGTCTTTTCAGCTCACAAAGGGACCTTGGTTTTGAGGAAAGTTTGCCCAGGTTTGCTGTCCGACTTCAGTCTTCCTTCCTGCAATATCGTTTGAGCTCATGAGCATTCAGGGAAGGGCCAGAGGCAGTGGTTTTCTTCTCTGGTAGGTGCGGACTTTAGGCAGGTAAGAAACTCTGGAGAACAGCTTCATCCTGTGCTTTGAGACACAGAGGACTGAGAGACGGGGGTTTGGAGGAGGAAGGTCAGAGAGATCTTGAGGCTTCCTCTTCAGTTCAGCATGTCCAAGTGCTGCTATAGGAGCTAGAAACTACGTAGGCAGATAGTGAGGGCAAACCAGTCCTCAGCGAGGCCTCCCTTTCAACAAAAAACAGCCCCAAATAATTTCTAACGAAGGGCAGCCTGTAAAACCGAGCTGCAGACACAGAGAAGCAAGCCAGAAGCTTGCACGGTGCATGCTGGCAGCTGCGCCAACACAAAGGGATACCTGGAAGCCAAGTCTGTTCAACACCGAGGCTCCGCCTTCCGCTTTTTTTTTTTTTTGTCACCACAGGTGCAGTAAAGGAGCAGGCAACATGGTGCCAGCCAGGTAGAGAACTCACCCGCATAATAAAGGTTACGGTGGGGTGGCCAACTTCTTCACACACTATGTAAATGACACACCTGCCCCACCGTATCCTTCAAACCCTGTGGGAATCAGACATCGTGTCCTCAAGCTCATCTGTAAAACCAGCCGCCTCTGGCCGCCAACTGGGAGGTGTGCTCGGAACCCTCCCTCTGCACAAGGGAGCGTTTGTCCTTTGCCTGTTAAACTTCTGTTCTTAAACTCACTCCCTGTGTGTCCCTGTCCTTGATTTCCTTGGCACGAGGCAGCCAACCTCGGATATTACCCCAGACACTGCTTTAGTGACATATTTCAGGGTATCAGTTTCTGAGCCCCAACAAACTATACAAGGGTCTGCTTTTCTCAACACCCTCACCAATATTTATCTTTCATCTTTCAGACAATAGCTTTTCTAACAGGTGCACATTGTACCCAGTAAATATATAAGACATACGATTGCTTGTCAAATAAAAATACAATTTTTAAAATTTCATTTAAAAAGAAAAAGGACACAGTAGGTACATTTTAATATAGAACTTGCTTGCAGATCTAAGATAGAATACAGGGTTCAAATCTCTGTGGAGTGGGGTGGGGGGATAGGTAAATGGCCAGAACCCAAATATTCATTTCCATATGTGAGCTGGAAAACACATATAAATAGTTCACTTAGCTAATCATAATATAACCTGAATTATATTTGCCTGTTTTTTACATTGGGAGGCAGGATGACTTAGGAAATTATTTTGGAAAATTGGAACATTCTAAATTACTAGAGGACTTGATACAATATAGTTCACATCTATGACATAGAGATTGTATCGAACGTTGTAATGTGCTCAACACACTCCTATGAATTGGTTAACAAATATATTAAGAAGAATGTCATGAATGACAAGTGCCTGCAGTAGGCCCTTGCTCTGTTCTCCAATGGTCACTCCCTTCTGTTATTTATTCCCTTTGTATATCCCCTCCCCTTGAGCATGAACTAGACCTAGTGATTTACCTTTGATGAACAGAATGTTACAAAGTGATAGGATGCCACTTCCAAGATCAGGTTATAAACGATTGCGACTTGCATGTTTTAGCGCTCTCTCTCTTTCTCTCTCTCTCTCTGTCTGTCTCTCATTGGGGCTTAGAAAATGACACCCCAAAATATGCCACTTTAGACTTTAAA